TGTTTTGGTTTCTTGCTTCAGGTTCTGCCATAATTGTTTCTCCAGTAAAATCTCTCTCTAAATGTGCTCTGCACAGCTCTTAACTCAGTCAAGGTTTGAGTGCCTATGACATGCCAGGTGGTACAAAGGGAATCAAAACAGAGCAAAGACTTGCCTTCACATTCTAGTCAAAAGAAATTAGACAGCCAAGAAGTATGGCAAGACACCAATCAATCAAGATGTGACTTTCTGTGTGGTCTCAACATTCTACTTTTCTCCTCTTGATGTAATTATGATTATTAGAAGCAGATTATCTTTTATTTCTAAGGTACTATAATGTCTATCCTTGTGGCATATTGGATTATTTTTTTCCAACTCATTCCTCTGTCTTTTTTAAAAACTAATACATCCATGACTATATTCATTGGAATTACCTATGCATTCTTTAGGAAAATGATTTTCTCCCACTTCCTTAAACTTTGGTTTGGTCGTATGACATCTTTGGCCAATGGTATGTTAGCGAGATTAAAGTTTGCTACTTCCCAGTGGAAGCATTAAATGAAATTGCATGGTTAGGCTCTGTTCCTTTTTTTCCTTTCAAAGGAAAGGAAAATATGTGAAAATATGTTTCCCAGATAGTGGCTATTATTTCTGCTTGTGTTTATAAACAGTGAGTTTTAGGGTAGAATTAAGTTCAGCCCAACAACCCAGTTGAGCATGGCTGAGCTCAGTTGACCTGCCCCACAGGTGGCCTACAGCCTTCATGTGATGTGAACAACAAATATATGTCTTTTTTCTTTGCTGAATAGAATAAAAGGCTATTTACTTTTGCAGGAATAGGTGACTGCCCCATGTTACATAAATAAAGAAGCTTAAAAATCAATTTGGAGAAATAACTGCTGATATACCAACCCTACCCACTCCTTGTGCTCAAAATTTATTTTTTTTCCTACAGTAACTGTTTTGTTTTTTTTTTTTTAATTTCACCCAGGCTATCCAAAATAAATATTTTAAGATCATGCAATTTCTTAATTGCTTTGTGTTGAATATATACATTTAGCTAAGATCTCAAATGATGTTTCCACAAAGTTGTGGGAGAGAAAAAAATATCCTTTGATGTAATTAGCTCTGTGAATTCATTTACTTTATAGGATATTGTTAAAATGCCATTTCTGTCCTAGATGTAATTTACTATAGGAAATTTTTATGTATGTATATAATTAGCATTATAAAAGAAGATCAGAAGGTAGCATTACTAACTAGTGGAAACACAAATAACACAATGTGGGTAAAATGGTATTTTTTAAGAAGCTAGTAGATTAGAACATTTTTAAAAAATCAGAATGTTTTTGTTCAATTTTGTTATCAAGGAATATTCATATTGTTTACTCTATATACTGGTGAACTAATACAAAAACATAAATAATGTCATTTTTTTCATACACCTCAGTTCTTACATTCAGTCATAACATTTGCTTAAATTGAATACAGACTCATCTAATTTTATTGTTGCTCTTTCTCCCTTGAATCTTCTGTTTATAAATCCAGCCTGTTTTACAACTGGTTTTTCACCTTTTAGAACCAGTCGACCAGGCTTCCCTGTGACTCTGATTGTTTGTATTAAGCTTTGTCATGTGATAATGTACTCTGTATATAGCATAATTCCTTTCAACGGGCTCAGCTAATTAAGTTCTGTAATCAAGGACATTGCAGCCAAGAGCTAATTTAAAAATTAAATGCTGAAAACAGAACAACATAATTTACTCTACAATTAAATGACTAGAAATGAAGGAACTATGACATATTTTGTCTTCTTGTAACATTTATAAAATCTTCACAGTGAATTTCAACGTTTTTCTTTATAACATCAGACCTTTTGGTTTAAACCCATAAACTCTTTTGTCTAATCTAGCTAGTTTTAGGTGTTTTCTAGCAGGCAGCTTTAAACTCTCTGTGTACGTTACGTTAAAACTGAAGGGCCTTCTGGCAATATTGCTTTGCAGACATTGCTTCCCTATGTTTGCTGTTTACAAATGACGCATTTCCATACAGATGTGAATTTGGTAGTCCTGTAATAGTGACACCAGAGCATGATGCTTGGCTGTGTGATCTCTTTGCAAACCTAATTTTTCTCCCTCTATCATATTTCATTTTCCTCTCTCTTACCCAAGCATCAAAGGATGCCCACACATATCTCTTCAGTATTTTCTGCTGCCTGTTAAAACTGGGGAAAAGCAGATACTCTCCAGTTTACTGTATTAGGTAATATTTCTGTTAGCTGTTTCTGTGAAATGACTATTTATAGTCTGGGAGTTGTAAGAAAAAAAAAACAAACTATTGTGAATTTTGGTTTTACTTATTTAAGAATGATATCCATAGTCTTAATATTGGTTTAGTATCATTCTACATCAAAGGGTAAGTTAAAGCTTTTCCATTGATTTGATCATATGTTGTCTAAAAATGTCTTCTTCTACTTGGAAATGACAGCACCTTTTAGAATGTGAATGTGAATGTTTATTTTACACATTGATGAATAATAAGGAATGGGATGTAAACTATTCATATTTAAGTATCAAAATTATTAGAAACAAAATCTTTCCCCAAAGAACATATAGTGCCTATTAAGTTTAAAAAAATTATGAATATAAGAGAGGATTCGGTATTGTTTATAATAGTACAGAGTTGATTATTTAATACTGTCTGAGGACCAGCTTATCATTTAAAGACTAATGTGTAATACTAACAAAGTTTGGTTCTAGTAAATGTATAACTAAAATAATCTTAACCTTAAACTTTAGTAATCTGGGTAAATTTAACAAATCAATTGTGAAACAATACATAAGCAATACAATCTCTATAAACATCTAATATTAAATTATTAGTACTTTAGGAGTATGTAACACATCTTTATAATCAATCACTTTTATTTTTTATTCAGTTTAACTTTACTGAGATGTTTACTTTCCCCTTTCTGGTGACTTCTACACAAAGAACTTTTATGTTTACTTAAAATGTTTTGGGCTCACAAACTTAATAACTTGATAACTATTTCATATATAAGATGATATTGTTTTACTTATTACAGATATTTGACTGGAATATTTTCTACTGTGAATTTATTCATTTTACAATATAATTTTCCTAATTGAAATTAGCAAAGCTTTGATTCTACTGGAGGTTTCACCAAATAAGGCAATGTATTAATTTTAGTGGCCTAACAAAATAGTTGTGTATTTCCCATTCATACCAAATCCAAGAGGATGATGAGCTTGAGTTCTTTTCAGCTCTTTACATATTCACACTGCAGGCGCTCTATATGTTTTCGTGATGATGGCTTGATTTTTTTCTACATTAATGTATTATTTAAAATGTCTTTTTTGTAAGAGTATAAACTACTTCTTCTATAATAATTAGGGAATGATTTGTTCCCAAACCATTTGCTATTAATCTATGAAACATATTCATATATACTCTGAATTTTTACATGCACCAAGCTCTCTTTCAGAACTATCAATCATCTGTTACTAGTTTTTCCTCTTTTTTATTAGTAGAACTTGTGTTTATTTATTGTAATTTTTATAAATAATTTTAATAATTAATGTGCAAAGTTTTTAACCTCATTATAATTTTTGCTAAAAAGAAAACCTTATCAGTTTTTAACAAGTAAAATTTATAACAAAATTAAAAATTAACCTCTCAGGAAGCCTTTGAAGCAATTTACAACAAATAATGTTATATTATTTTATATACTACAAAAAATATTTTTATGTACCTGGGTAATTTTTCAAATAATCAATATTTTAACACATGTATTTCATATAATATTTTATGATTATTTATGCTACCTTAATATATTTTTCTATTATGTGCTGTATATGGTTATTTATATTATATCTGAGTTTTACATATTTAATTTACTTCTCGATTCTTTATTAACTCATCCAATTTCAGTTTACCTTTTTATATTGAAAAATGTCCATCACCAAAATTGTGACTAAATATATTCAACAAGGAAGAGTACAGTAAATGAAAATTAGACAGTGAATATGACCAAAATCATATTCTTTTTGAGAAGACAAAGCAGAACAAAAATAGAAATGCTCTGTTAATTTTACGTAGAAAGCATTATTTCACCTTCATTAGGACAGAAAATATTTTTCACTTGGAAAAAAAACCTCAATTATACATACTCAAGAGTTTAATAAGACGTTAACAAATTTAATAGAAATATACAAAAGTATAATGCTGCCAAACTGTAAATTCATATAAATTTTAAAAGCTAACCTTAATGTTTTTAAAAGCTAACCTTAATGTTTTGTTCTATTTTCTCAAAGTCAAATGTAAATTGTTTAATATGAAAAATTGTACAACAGAGGGAAATGTAATTGCTCTTTAATAATTGTTGTCTTATATGTAATTAGTTTAAAATTACTGAACATATCTCATAAAGTGATCCACGGACCATTACTTTCCTTGTTTCACATACTCATTATTTTAGTTGTCTTTTTGGACCAACACTATTATTTTCCCTTTCTGCTTCTTGCCAAATAATCCAGGTACTGTAAACTCATGATATTATAACATTAAACAGCTTATCCTCTAGCTGTCTTGTACAGCTCCTATAACACGGGCCCACCAGGCAATATGATATATAATGATACTGCATCATTGATCTGATTTGCTTGACTTACAGAACTCTCGCAATTCATTTTGAAGAAAATAATCTTCAATGTAAGTTTTTGAAAACTAACATTTATTAGTGTCTATACCAGTTCATTCTGTGAACTGTTTTGTAAATATCTTTTGGGAAATAATAGCTGAAGGTCAATTAGTTTGCTATAGATTTGACTGCCTTTGATAGACTGAAATTTCATATTATTTGGCTCATGACATTTGAAAATACATATGATTTTCTAAAAAACATTGCTCTTTTTCCTTCAAAACTATTAAATGAATATGGCCATATGACCATGTTGATACATTTTTTTATTCAAATTGTTATCAAGAATTCTGCATTGGGCAGATTCTTTAACCAAGGTGATCAACAGAGTTGGAGCTCTGGACCAACAATCTTGCTTCTTGTGATAGTGAGCAAAGAATTGCAAACTAACACAAAGTGCCAGCTCAAAGCAAAGTTTACTGAAGGGGAATCAACCCCTCTTTACAAAACTCAGGGATCTTTTGTGGGGTTTTGGGGAAAGGAGTTGATGTTTTGGATGTGTCTGATTGACAAGATGATATCATTTGATTGGCATTTCATGATTAAATAACTAAAACTGCACATGTTCTTACCCATAATCCATTAAGAAAAAAAAACACAGGAGGATGGTGAGTGGGGGCAAAAACCTTATGTAAATTCTATTATAATGATGGTGTAGTGAGTTTGGAGGTGACCTAGGGGCATGGTTTTGTATTACTGTGCATGAGCCATTTTAGGGGCTTTCCATCTGTGTCCTAGTTTCTCCATCTTCAGGATGTGCTGGCCACCACAAACTTTACCCATTAGGGTGGAGTTAGGGCAGCACTGGCACTGAACTTAGTTGGGCCAGGGACTGTGTTGGTGATGGCCTTTCTTCTCTCTTTTCTTACCCTCTCCCAGTTGCTAATGTCTATCTAACCTAACACAACCTATATCTAAAAGTTTAAAAATACATATAGATAAAAATGTGAAATTATTATACATTTTAAAACTTTAAATTTTGCTTAGCTTATCCCTCATTTGTCTTAAAGTATAATACGAAATTAATACAAATATATTTACATTGGAAGTAGAAATTATTGTCTGGGGTAGCGGTTTGAAGGGAAATTCATAAATAAAATCTGATAACACACACAGAATTCTCAATTTGTCCCACATAATATAACAATAATAATTTGAAATGGAAGACTGAGATTTTGAATTTCAATAAATTGAAGGCTAATTTATATAGTTCAAGTTATTCTAAATTGTAATCAAGTAACTGAGTCTATCTAATATAGCCACAATCTTCTTGATTTTGTTTTCTGTTGCTACATCACAGTACCAAAATGATACGAGCTTTCCAAAATAAAAACCTTTGGATTATTAATTTTCATTACTGTGTGATTTAATTTATAGTTCGTTTTCCCTCTTTTCTATTATAATACAGCACACAGACACAGTCAGCCCTTGACTAAATTTAATAAGAGAATTAGTTAATGCAAAGTCTTTTAAGACTATTATTACATATCATTGTACATTTTCTTGCCATTTAGCCAAAATAGAATGTATTGGAATAGTACTAAGTGTTGTGTTCTAGGTGTAATTTTTCTTATTTTAACCTTAGTTTGGGTGATTGTATAGTATATTGCCCCTAGGCCCAGCATGGTGGCTCAGGCCTATAATCCCAGCACTATGGGAAGCTGAGGTGGGCAAATCACCTGAGGTCAAGAGTTTGAGACAAGTCTGGCCAACATGGTGAAACCCTATCTCTACTAAAAATACAAAAATTAACTGGGTATGGTGGAGTGCTCCTGTAATCCCAGCCACTCAGGAGGCTGAGGCAGGAGAATCACTTGAACCAGAGGCAGAGGTTGCAGTGAGCCGAGATCATGCCGTCACATTCCAGCCTGGCTGACAGAGTGAGACTCCATCTAAAAAAGAAAGAAGGAAAAAGTCTGTTATTTATTTGTCCCAAAACCTGAGATAGTAGGTATAAACCAGAGCTGTACTGGGAAAAACATGGTAAAAATTCACCCCGCTTTTATTATGTTAACTACCTTCCCCTGGATCAGGGGTCAGTAAACTTTTTCTGTAAAGGACCAGATAATAAATGGTTTATGCTTGGTGGGCCATAAAACCTCGGTTGCAACCATTTAACTTTGCAATTCTAGTGTGAAATCAGCCATAGACCATATGGAAACAAATTAGCATGTTTGTGTTCCAATAGAACTTTATTTACAAAAACAGGTAGTGGATTTTGCCTTCAAGCTATGGTTTGCCAACACCTGCCCTAGAACTTTGTACGTTCCTGTCTACTCTAGTTTATTTTTAGCATTTCCTTTGCTTTTCCTGCTTTTATTTATTCAAGTATATGCTAAAGTCTTTCACAGTTCTTCAGCCCAAGTGTCTCTCCTGTATCCAGGCTTGTGTTTTTAACAATATTGTCTTTTTATTTTTTAATTGTATTTTTTTTCTCGTTTCAAGACAAAGTCTGGTTCTATTGCCCAGGTTGGAGTGCAGTCACATGATTTCAGATCACTGCAACCTCCACCTCTCAGGCTCAAGCAATCCTCCACCTCAGTAACTAGGACTACAGGCATATACCACCATGCCCTGCTAATTTTTGTACTTTTTGTAAAGATGGGGTTTCTCCATGTTGCCCAGGCTGGTCACAAACTCATGAGCTCCAGTGGTTCTCCCACCTTGATGTCCCTAAGTGCTGGGCTTGCAGGCATGAGCCACCATGCCCAGACACTAACTGTATTTTCAATATCTCCAATTTGGTATCTCATAGGCATTTACAAACTAAATATGTCCAAAACCAACAACTTGATCACCCTTACCCAAATCTGCTTCTTCCAAACTGGGAATAAATGGAAACAGTATTTTTCCAGATGCTCCAGTTAAAAATGGTAGAGCTATTGTTTTTCTTCCATTCCACATCAAATTGACCAGCAAATTCTGTCAGCTCTGCCTTTACAGTATATCCTGAATCTAATAGTTTCTCTTCACCTCCTTGTTACCACTGGTTAGAAACACCATCTCCTTTCTGATTTGTTAGGATACCTTCCAATTACTCTCCCTGTTTCCAGGCTCAGTATCCTAGAATTTATTCTCCATAGAGCTCGTAGGATCAGGCTCTTAAAGGGAAAGTCAGAACCTGTCACTTCACTGCTCTCAAATGGTAGAATAGTTTTTCATTCAGACTCCAAAGACCTTACTGTATAAGAGGGTTGTGTAAGATTTTGGTTCTTCACAGGTTTACTACAATCATTGTCCATCTCCAGCTCCAGCCACAACAGACCCCTGCTGTTTTCCGTGAACATCCCAAAATGATGCTCCACTCAGGGCATTGCATTTGCTATTCCCCACGGAAGAGTCTTTTTCAAAGTTTTATCAAAGCTCATTCTCTCATATCCTTCAGTATTCTGCTCAAATGTCACTTATCAGAAAGACTCTTCCTGATCCTTCTGTGTTTAATGCAAACCATTTATTTTTTCTTTTCTCCATAGCACTTTATTTTTCTTCATAGCATTATGTCATGGGGCATAATACAATATTTATACAATAATACAAATATTTATTTGTTGGCTAATTTTCAGTTCTATTCTAATTGGAATGTATTAATAACTACCATGCATGACAAACTTTTATTTTAAGTCATTCTCAACACTTAGAATTGTTTGACACTCAATAAATACACAATAAAATGTGTTGAATTAATGAATATGTGAATTTACAATTTTCCTTTTTAATAAGGTATGTTACTTTTCGGATTACTTGCCTCTGTGTCAATTTTAGTGTTTCTGCCCACCAATCTGCATTTACTATTTGTCATCTTGGTTCAAATATATAACATCTGCTCTGTTAAACCTCTTATTTTTATTCCAATACATTATTGTCACTACTTGATCTCACATGAATTCCAAACTATCCACCTTCTCATCCATCTTTTAATTCATTCAACATAAATCTATTACTCACTTAATATTTCTGTCCCAGACACTGAGCCATGCTTTTGAATAATGTAAAAAGGCATTTTTCCTTTTTTATGTAGAACTCACATTCTAGTATGCAAGAAAAGTATAGCATAAATATTTACCACAATGTAGTAAGTTTTATAAAACATGTAACATTTACCAGGTCAGTACTAATTTTCATTGGGAAAATCTGGAAATACTGTCCAGAAGATTAATAATGATTATTTGAAAGTAATTTAAAAGTTTAGGCAAAAAATGATAAGGCCCAGAATGAATGCAGTAGCAGCAGAAATTGAAAAGAGGCATTGATTATACAACAGGAAATGTAAAGAAACTAGTGAAATACAGGTTTGTGACTTGAAGATGGTGAGTTGAAAAATGAATAAAAATTTTATCTTTCATTAATTATAATTTGGACAGAACTAATAATGAGAATCAGATATTTTAATTTGAAAAATGGCCCAATTCAAATGAGAAATATCCAGCAGGAAGGTAGATTTCTATTAATAAATGTGATAATATCAGTTACATATTCTATTGTCGTTAACACCAGACAGAGTGGGATGGCTGGCCTTTTAATTGGTCCTTTTTCTTTATACCTTTCAACATTTTTCTCAAAATTGTCCATATATAATAATTCATGTCATAATGAGAAAAACATAAATGTAGATTTTTCTAATAGAAGGAAAACTATGGAAGTCAAGATGGTAAATGAGAACTTATCTTTGAGAAATTTCAGTTAACAAAAGGAGAAGAAATAAATCTGTAGATGCAAATTGGGGTGAGTGATTCCTGAGTTTATTCTTATTTGTTTAAATATTATAACATCTTTTAACATTTTTATTTAATATATTACAGTACATGGAATTTCAAGATGTCTCATTGAATTATGCTATTTGTAAAGCCACATATTTATATATAATCTTGATAACTTTGTCCATTTATAAATTAGATACACATACACACCGTTTTCACATTTTCTAAAATAAAAACTAATAACTTCATAAATTAGTATCTGCAGTTTTAAATGTCATATTATTTCTCATTTTTAGATGAATTACCGCTTTAGTGCTACATGTCTATATGCATGATTTGGAGTAGTTCTTCTTCGAAGACATCATTTATATTTTCCTAGATAATATCAATAAATTCATTGTCCATCTGAATTCCCTGGGTTAATTTCCCAGAAAATACTTAAACACAGGATACTTAATTAACCTGAAAATTTTCAGACACATTATAAATTGTGTATAATAATAATACGGTAAAATAAATATGTCAACTTTAGACATATATAGTGAAATCAAGACACACCTAGAAGAAAGAAGAAAAATGACTATTGAAATTTTTAAACAGAATAACTGTAGTTATGAACAGGAAAAGTTCTGCTATAGAAAAAAAAATCAATGATATATGTTTCACTTGTATTATTTCCATAAACAAAT